TTTTTTTAAAGACGGGGTTTCACCATGTTGGTCAGACTGGTCTTGAACTCCTGACCTCAGGTGATCCGCCCACCTTGGCCTCCAAAGTGCCTGGATTACAGGTGTGAGCCACCACGCCCAGCTCTTACTTACTTCTTTACTTAAACTATGTTGCCCAGCCTGGTCTTGAACTTCTGGCCTCAAGTGTTTCTTCTGCCTCAGTCTCCCAAAATGCTGAGATTACAGGCATGAGTCATCATGCCCAACCCTACTTACACTTTAATATTTACATTTTAATAGATTAAAAATAATAGAGGTCTGGGCATGGTGGCTCACTCCTATAATCCCAGCACTTTGGCAGGCCAAGGCAGGCAGACTGCTTGAGCCCAGGAGTTTGAGACCAGCTTGGGCAACAAGGCAAAAACCCATCTCTACAAAAAATACAAAACAATTAGCTGAGTGTGGTGGCACACATCCGTAGTCTCAGCTACTTGGCAGGCTGAGGTAGAAGATCACTTGAGCCCAGGAGATCAAGGCTGAAGTAATCCTTGATTGTGCCACTGTATTCTGGCCTGGGTGACAGAATGAGATCCTGGCTCTCAAAAAAAACAAAAGTGAGAAACTGTCACTGATGTCTTAATTAAAATAAATACTTGTTACATCTAAATACTACTGCTCACTAGCAATGAATGACACCACCTAAAATGTGGTAAAAATTTATCAAATACCCAGCTATTTCCACCTCTTGCTATGCTCTCCGCCAACCACATTAGCTACAGTATTCAGTCAGAATGTTGCAGCCATGTTATTTACAATAAAGCTTTTCTTGCATGGGAAATTTAAAAACTGTTACAGAAAGTTATTCACAGCATAAGTACTAGTGCAAAGGTAAGACTTTCACTAGGCACGAATGCACAACGTTGTCTTCTGGCACGCTGTCTCTACCAGAACAGGGGCAAAAGATGTGAATTCTTTATGAAGCCAAAAGTTATAGCTCCTAAGCAGCTGCATCCCTGTTGGTCCCTGGCACTCCCTGAACCTCTACCTTTCACTCCCACTTTGTAAACACAGGAACATAATAGAAAAAGAGACAGGAAATATAACGTTTATATTCATTTTTTTTTGGCAGCAAAATATTCGTGCTCAAATGACTCAAAGCAAAAAAGCTATACAGTCATCACAAACTTTCAAAACAACTCTTGCTAAGCATTCGTGCTTACCTTCCTGAAACTATTACAATCTATTACTCTCACTGGGAAGGCATCAAAACCACAAGACACAATGGTAAGAAATAACAATGGAACTCCTATGACTAACCTGCAAAAGCTCTTGCTTCATCTGTAGGAACTGCCCTGAGGTGACGTAGGTCACTCTTATTGCCCACAAGCATGATAACAATGTTACTATCAGCATGATCTCTCAGCTCTTTCAGCCATCGCTCTACATTTTCATATGTGAGATGTTTAGCAATGTCATAAACCAATAAGGCACCTACAGCTCCACGGTAATATCTGAAAGCAGAACATATTTAATATCAGAAAACCACCACAAGATGGAAACAAACACCAGGAAGAACCTGAATATGGATTATGAGTTTTAAAAACACACTCATAAATAAATTTCTAAGGATTACTAACACTAGAGTTCTTAAAAGAAAAAAACCAACAGTCAACTAATTCACTTGACGGCAACCCATTTCACAAAACTTAAAAACTGGGAGACTTACGCTGATGTTATAGCTCGGTATCGCTCTTGCCCTGCTGTGTCCCATATCTGTGCCTTTATTGTTTTTCCATCAACCTGGATGCTTCTTGTTGCAAACTCTACTCCAATGGTGCTCTTGCTTTCCAGGTTGAACTCATTTCGAGTAAATCGAGACAGGAGATTACTCTTTCCAACACCAGAATCGCCAATAAGGACAACTGGAAAGACAAAGAACTTAATGTCAGATGAATGAGGCAAACATATTCAGAATACCACTACGCTTTCGACAGAATGAAGTTTGGCTTCAGAGTAAATAAAGCAAGAAAAATAAGGTATATGATTTTTAAAAAGGAATGGGGGCAGGGAGTTGAATAGCCCATGTTCTTGACCAGTTACCAATCAATAAAACTGATTTATTCTTTTCAGCCTGTTTCTACCTGCATGACTTCTACACATCATCTGCTTAGCGCAGATACCGTACCCTGTCTTAAACATGTAGTTTTAATCACCGATGCAATTGGCACTGATGACAAGCATTAATTGCAATCAATGCTATGCCAATCTTACTACTTTAGAAGATAACGTCAAAGATAAATACTAAACTAAACGAACAATTTATGGTATTAAAATGTATCAGACATGAAAACAACAAAGGCTGTTAGTGGGTAGGGAAGGACAAAATGAATATACTTAGTTTCATCAAAGACTGGATGTGACCTCAGGACTCACGCCTAGGCAAAATGAAAAACATTTAACGTATGAGGCATAGGGTTTGTAAACTTCGCCACACAGATCACAGAAACTAAAATGACCTTAACAGTTGGATTTATCAGATTGGTACAAAGTTAAAGACCCCCTCTGCCAAAAACTCCACCCCACTAAGGATAAACAGGGGTGCTAGGAAGCTAACTAATACTTCTGACATACTGTGAATCAAAACCAAAGCAAGTGCCGGGCGTGGTGACTCACACCTGTAAAACCAACACTTTGGGAGGCCAAGGTGGGCAGACTGCTTGAGGCCAAGAGAACAAGACCAGCCTGGCCAACATGGTGGCCATCTCCACTAAAAATACAAAAACTAGCCAAGGCATGGTGGGCGGGGGGCCTGTAATACCAACTACTTGGGGGCCTGAGGCATGAGAATCGCTTCAACCCAGGAAGCAGAGGCTGCAGTAAGCTGAGATTCTGCCACTGCACTCCAGCCTGGACCACACACTGACAC